CTGTTTAGATATTACAGCATTTATTTCAGGGACCGCAGTAGACCCCGTGGGTCTAGATTCATGATTTTTCATCAACAACTCGTTATTTTGTTCAGCCAACAGCAAACAAAAAATCAACTCAAAATATTTTACAAAGCCTTTTGCTTTGTATTGTTGCTGCAATAGTACATTTGAAGCGTGGACCGTGGACAACGTTTTTTCCAGCATATCATAATCAGTTATGTTTTCTCTGCATAATTTTAACACCGAACAAATGCGGAACATGGCCGAATTGTACTCGTTAACAGTTTTGAAGTCTTGGAAGCGTAAATGCATCCATTCATAACGAGCCCGGGGGAGAATCACCGTTTTCTGGTGATCATATCTTTCTTTTAAGACTTTTCAGAGATCTGCAGGATCTTTTACAGTTAAATATTCATTTTTCAAAGCCTCATTCAAATGATGCCTCAGAAATATCATTGCTTTAGCTTTATCCTGTATTGATGAATCATTTGGGGAGATTATTGTTTTTTCTAATCCCCTTGCCGCCAAATGAATTTCGGCATCCAATGTCCATGAGATATAATTTTTTCCGGATATATCGAGAGCTTCAAATTCGAGTTTGACCAGATTTGCCATGATAACTATAAAATAAAACATCAATGTTTAGATTCGAAAAATTACATATACAATCATTAATTCTTCAATACATACAAAAGAGCAAATACTAAACACATTATACAAAGGCCTAATACATAAAATTAAAATCCAATAGTACGATACATCATCATAAAAATTAGCAAAACATATATAATAAACAAGATAATGGTAATTATAAGTAATGGATCAAATATTATTTTTTTCTTATAAAGAAAATATATTTTTGAGTGTTTGGATTATGAAAATGAATTGTAGTGTTATATATAGATATTGATAAATAGTCGTTACAAAAATAACCGTTAACTAGCCATTGGAAACAAATTTAATGATATAATATTTGCTAATTAATCATTTATGATCATAAAATTCTAATTAATCATGTATTTTACCTTAAAAATTTACCGAGTCATTACATAAACAATTTAATAAATAGCAAATCAAATAAAAATGTTACTCCACACTACTCGATAAATCTTTCGGTGGGTACAAGAATAATCAGTTATAAATTTCACGCCACATTACTGGGTAAACCATTTTTGTGGGTGTTAAGTATAAGTAATAACATTTATTATAACTTGAATAATAATTCATAAACAAATTTAATAATAACATATCACCACATATTATTGACTATGGCATAGCCTAATTTGCCAATAATATTGGTAATGTGTATATAATATCATATTTAGTATACATATCTTGACTGTGGCAGAGCCTAACTTGTCAAGAATAATAGTAATATATATATATTTTTGACTGTGGCAGAGCCTAACTTGTAAAAAATAATAGCAATATGTATATATATATCCTTGACTGTGGCAGAGTCTAACTTGTCAAGAATAATGGTAATATGTATATATATCCTACCTTTCTTGACCGGGTAGAGCGTTCGTGCTGATAACGTGTTATAAAATGCGAGCAATATAAAGAACGCAATGTATAGAAACCGGATATAAATTGTAACAGACTATCTTTTCTTTCTTTCTTCCTTCTTTTTCGTACATCAATAGTAAGGCACCATTGCCTTTTATAGCCAAATTTTGGCACGCAATTCAATGCAAACTAAATATAATAATGTAAAGATAAGATTATGATTAGTGGATAATTCCACATATTTACAATAATGCTCACTTTTTCATTCACCTATGACTAGGGAATTCAACTCTCGTCTAGAATTTGTGATGCATTTGCGGTATTCATACCTATTCGAACTGTTTGAATATCATGATTAGTTGCTTGATCATCATCTAGTGTAGATTGATAACCTAGTAAGCGGAAGGGGATAGGATATTCGATCATAATTCAAATAGGGGAGACATGTTCGTAAATATATTGTTATAAGTTTGTTGATCAAAATACATATTTGTCTATGTCCAAACATGAGTTTGTAAAAGTATCGGGGACGGGTCTTTAGGCTTGTGTGTATGCCTTGACTTGCTCGTTTATGTTCAATTCCTTTTTACAAAAGCTATTGAGAGCAAACAACTAGGCGTTATGTGAGGGCCTTAGTCTTTAAACCGAACATTAATATGTTCGACATAGATTTAAGACTTGAAGTGATTATTCTCGACGCTCTAAAACTTCTTCTATTTATCTATTTATTTTTATTGGTATTTACTTGTTTAATAGTTCTTGATAGTCTGTATATAATTCACTCAAATCCCTTAAGCGATTAGAATGTTTATGATCTTATTTTATTTTCGTGTGTGATCGACATCAAGTATTGATTCCAAACCGCCGTCCTCGAGAGATCGACCCGTGGTTGGGATTCATTTTGTACTTCGATAAAATACATAATTTGCTACAACAAGTTAATACTAAAACTAATTAATTATAATTGACTCTAAATGATATATGTAAGTTACATAAATATAAAATTATGTTGTAAAATATATTCTTCTAGCCATTTATTCTATAATCAATACTTCGTCCTTCTCAATTCATTTAGCGATTTTTCTTACATAAATTAATTGGTTCTATTGGCATAGCCAAATCCCTTAAAATCACATATACAATTTCTACAATAAAAATTATAATTATAATATTTTATTCAGATCATTAATTGGTCAGAATTCTTAAAAGTTACAAAACAACATTATCAAATTACAATTTATGCAATCAACATATCGATACATATGTAGTTAAATAATTTTATAAAGTTTATTTTTAGAGAGATTATACGGTTTCGTTACGAAACTATTTTGTCGGAGTTTGTAACCTTTAGATCAACTATCCACGACAGTTACATGATGATCGAACGGTTACAAAATCCCGACACTTTAGTTCCGTAACGAGACTGTAGTATTTTTTTATTATTATTAGTGACCAAATTTTCAAAACAAGATATTATTATCATCTAGTTTATTCTTTATAAAATCGTATAAAATCAAATACTAGTTTTTGGAAGGTAGCTAACAAAAATCAAACATGTCTCTTGTGTTTTTTTTTTTTT